AAAAAAAAACAAATTTTCAATTGTGATCCTTTTCCAGCTCTCTGATAACGATCACTTCAGACGCAAAGATTTGCAAGGTAGGCAAAAATCCCGGCCGCAGGTAGGCAACGATGCTTAAGCAGTCATCACAATAAATCCGGACTGTAACAGCGGATATTATCTGCAGTATCGATAGGCACTTGGCATAATTTAAGTAGTCAGCAAGTAATGCACAAAATGGTATCCCTGATATTCATAAAATCTCACGTGATTGCACTCCTCTATCTGCCTCTGGAACAGACAATCACAGGTTCCATAGAATGCAATTGGGCAGGCCGTTGATCAGGCGGCCAGTGAATCACTCTTGTATGACGTTTACGCACTCACGCCCACAGCACGCTAGCGCGCAAGGCCCGGGCCCCAAACATGTCTCAGTGTTGATCAGGCCAAAGACAACTAAGGCCAGAGATACCTGTTAAGGTTTCTGTGCAGAATATATCTTCCGTTCTGCTGTCTTTCTTCTTATCCTGAAATCCAAGTCGTCGTCCGATGGCTGTATTGGGTAACGCATACCCATTAATGTAGTCACTAAAATTCCAATAACATCATGCCAAACTAGAAGTGTGGACCAACGTCTTTTCCCACCGGGGCATTGAAAACTGGAACAAACTGCATCCTTCAGTTGGTCTGGCTGAAAGCGTTGACACTTTTAAATGAAGACTTGATAGTACTTTACTTGATGGAAGACAAAAACTATTCATCTAATGTACATACATACTTTTGGACATATGCATGATTTGTCAGAATCTAGCTGTAAATAGGGTTTTCAAAGGCCCTACCTATTTTCATTATATATACTGAATTATATTTTATAATTACCTCTGTCGACGGGACAAATATAATGTCAACAGAAACAACAATTTATACTGTTTCAAGGAAAGGCATCATTAGGGAAAATTATGAAAATTTATTCAGTGTGTTTTCGACACGGGATCCCCAGGTCGTCGTCAGACTTGAGAAAAATGTGCAAAGAACAAAGGACACCTTTCCTTAAAATTACATTTCTTGGGATGCCTGCATTCCAGTTTATACGAAACACTCTCTACTGTTTCCATAACTAATGTGCATACTCCTTGCCAAATACTGCAATGCGGCTCTAGATTAACAACAATTCAAAAACAAAATAGCAGTTACTATTAGTGCAGACTACTTTGATGCAGCTCACAAAGCGCTTACCCATCGGTCTGCGTTCTATGACCACGTCGATGTTGTCTGCAACGCCACCGGCCTGACAAACATAACGGCCGCTGTGGGACACCTTTGGCTCCGCTATTGTAAGGCGCACCTGTTTACCATCACTCATGATCGTCTGTGTCTGATGACCCACATCACTAGGCGTCAGCCATCGTACAGCAGCATTGGAGACATCACCGGTGAGTTTACAGTATAGTTCGAGGGGTCCACTGTCCTCATGCATGCGAAGCACGTCATCGTCTTTCTCGATCCTCAACGACAAGCGCCCTGAAAGTGGAGAATATTTTGTTTGTTTTCAGTTTTTCTTTCAACATGACTAGCAGATGGACCACGAAAATAATAAAATATGTGTTTTATCGAATACTTTGGCTTACTGAATTTGTGAAAGTAGCATTCATAAATAGTTTCATTAAAATTCTCAATTTAGTCTCCCTTGGCAGGCGTGGAAACAAGTTGCCGCATTTTAAGCTGACAAGAGGTCCGGATGGGCTTGTACCTGCCCAGTTTTTAACCAGTCAGAGAGCGTGTTTTAAAGACTGTTAATAAACTATACGTCCTTTTAGTTAAGGATATAATTCTTATTGGTTGTGAATGATTTACTGGTGATCTGAAAACTACAGTCCAGGCTGACATACCCTATCATTTCCACGGCAGACAGTCTCTTTTACGGAATACTAAATAGTACCAACACAAGGATATTTATTTTACTAAGGTGGGCAGCATAATCTACGTAATATCGACATAAATACTGTTACGTAATTTGTTATAGTAGCGAGGACAGTAAAAGTGAAGAAGTAGCCACATTTTGTGGGGGTGAGTGGTGCTATGCCAGTTTTAGCGAAAATTTCGCCACTCGTGCGCACAACTGCTGGGGTTAAGAAAAGAGTGAATCCTCGGTTGATGATTTAGACAAAAGACTGCACAGCTCTTTGGAATTTTGAAGCCATATGCTTGAGGCAGCGAAATTAAAAACACTGTTGCAGACTTCATCAATCGGGAATGGTAGACAACGAAAGCCATCACCAATCCGGGGAAGTTTCTTAGGCAAACACGATAGGCTAGTTGCCAGCCACTCCAATGCAACAAAAAGTGATACACTGTATTGATAGTATGAGGGTTAACTTACCCTCAGATCCAGTATCAAAAACAGTGTACCTGCATTT